AATAAAAACCAACAGATTTACTTTGCAAGGCCGTATAATTTCACTTATCGTATATTATCTGAAGGAGAAATTTCCATATTAATCAAGCGTTACATTTTATTGGAAATTAACTTTTCACGTGAATTTAACACGTGAATGATATTTAAAACGGTATTTATCCTTGTCTTTTTTTGTTTGTGAACGTTGGTAGTATTTAAAAACAATTTTCTCACGTGTAAGTATTAAAAAGATAAAAACAACATTAACTAGGTATACCAGCATATTACTATCACTTTAGGTAGGCACGTGAATGCAAATAGAAGAGGTTTACAGTTATTAATAAAGAAAAAACAAAAGTATAACTAAATACCGGATAATAATAAAATCGTTTGTATTTTCTTTTTGAGCACTGATTTTATTTATCAAAATGAAATTGGCAAAACCTAAAGTAATGTACAACGAAGTGGTAGAGAGAATAGACGTTCTAATATAAAACATAATACTGGAAATAGTAAAAGAATATACAGGTTGTTAACTCGACAGTTACTTATAGGGGAACAGAATGGCAACATTGCCTATTGAGAACGCATGCATTATTGATTTTTCTGCCGACTCCGTCCCGTCGCGTCGTCATCGACGAGCGGGCCGAGGTTGCCATATTTCAACCATAAAGTTCTTGCCGCGAGTAATAAACAAATTAACAACCTGTATATATTTGGGACAACTAATATACAGCTAAGGATTTCTACTACCAGAAATCAACACAAGAATTAAGCTAGTATCGAGTACATATGGAAGAAACTCCTTCATGTTCAAATCTAAAATGTCACTCTATCTAAAGAAGAAAACATTCGATGAATGTGTACTACCAGTCATTCATAATCTATGCATGCGAAACCTATACACTTAAAACGGACATTATAAGGAAACTGCAGGTATTTATAGCACAACGCTCAATGGAACGAAATATGCCGGTAATAACCAAGAAAGACCGTAAAAGAATACAGTGGATACGACAAAAGACCCAGGTATTATATGTCATCCACAGAGTCAAATCCCTCAAATGGCAATGGGTATGACACCTGGCAAGAAGGACGGACTAAAAGATGGACCACAAAAATTACAGCATGGTACCCACGAGGAATTAAGAGAAGAACTTGGACACATAATTAGAAGTACATAATATTACATATTGTTAATTATACAGGGTCGCTGATATGTATGGGTCGATTATTAGGTAAAATATACGAGGTGCCGCAAAAAGTTAAATATAAAAGTTATAGGGTTTTTAAATGTCTATTAGCGAGTAATGAATTCAAGTATACAGGGTCGGTCATAAAGTCGTGGTACTGTTACTTGAATTTACTACTAGATACTGGACATTTAAAAACCCCATAACTTTTGTATTTAACTTTTTGCGGTACCTTGTATATTTTACTTAATAATCAACCGTTCCCATACATAACAGCGACCCTGTATAATATATTATAATAATATTAATTAATTACTATACTACACCATAATTAGAAACGGTAGAATAATCTGGAAATAATGACGATGAATAAAATCGGTGCACAGACAGAAATTTCCACAGAATTTTAAAATAAAATAAAAAATAGGGTGTTTTATTTAAAACAAAAACAGTTTTATCTGTCACACCTATTTGAAATACCCTGTATACTCAAAAATAATTTAAAATTGTATGTCTTACCATTCCCTTAAACTTTCATATTTAACATTTTTTAATACCTATCAAAATAAACGAAATAATAAACTTTATCGTTGATTAATCTTGTACAGAGTGTCCCCAAGAGAGAACATTGCGGTTTTCGCTAGCTTTGTGAAACTAAAGATTCCGTACACAAAATTGTCACTGTTTTCTTAATTTCCATGATACAGGGTGATTTTCAAAATGTTGCATTATCTCACTTGTTTGACAACTTATCAAAAAGGTAAAGACGGATTCTTATAAAAAAATTACGAGGAATCCAGTGGCATGGTCAGTTTTTTCTCAATACTTTTATTTTTGAGATATTGGCCAATGTTATGAATCATTTTTTACATGGGACGCCCTGTATATTTGTCTTCTTACACTATTCATAATCAAGTACAATTCACCTTTGTGATTAGAAAAAAGATATTTTGAAAATAATAAAAGAGAAAACGAGGGTATAGATATTTTTTGAAATTTCTCTGATCTAGCCTAATTAAAATTCAACTTAGATAGTATGTAAATTTTGGAAAAAACCATGTCACGATACATATTGGTAACGTACCTACAATGTCTTTTGGTGAACAGCCGGACTGTTATAAATCGAATGTATACATGAACCCTCGACGTGAATATAAATTACGTACCTACAATTTTTGAATAGGAAGAAACAGTAGTTCAGGTAAAAAGTTTCCCCAGCTAGTTGAAAATGCACAAATTTTTTAAAAATACGTTATTTGTTTTATACATATTAAATTTGAATGCATGTAGATTGAACAAAATACTAATTTTTATAGATGACTAGTTGAAGCCTGACGCATCCGCCACGACATCAGGAAAATACTTTTTATTTTTTGTCTAATTAAATGAAACACAAAAAAATCCGGCGACGACAGTTTTTAGTAGAGCCAATTAGCTATCTTTTAGTAAAAAAAGCAACTTTCTAGAGCAAATCGTTACTTCAGTAGAGACGACACAGATAAACATTAGCATTTTATATATGTAGATTGTTCGTGAAAACTGTTAAAAACTAAACTATACCGGGTGCGTCTCAAAAGTGGCTCACCCTTATAACTTTTTTATTTTTTCTGATAAAAACGAGACTTGGTATGGTAGTATATCACATAAATTAGATTGATTGACGTACTCTCGGTTGTTTTGGTCACTTCCTGTTTCACCGGAAATGACTACAACTTTTGATTTTTAAATGGCACCCTCGGTATTTTTTTTACTTTATTCGATAGAAAAGGACATTCTGAATAGAATGACATATCATATGTCAACTTTTGACATTCTTGCTTAATAAAAAATCGCATTTTAAACTTCAATCTAGAGTGAGGGGGAGTAGGGAGCTCTGGAAAAATAGATTTGATATCTCATTTTTTACAAATGGGACGAGGCTGGCTCATTAGCATATTTGGAAAAAACTTTTTTTACGAATAATTTGACACCACACACTTGGTATTTCGAGTCAAATTTTCGATATGAATCACATGTTATAATTTCAAATAAACCATATGCGAAAATGTCACAAGTTGACATATGATATGTCATTCTATTTCGAGTGTTATTTTCTATCGAATAAAGTAGAAAAATACTGAAAGTGCTATTTAAAAAACAAAAGTTGTAGTCATTTCCGGTGAAACAGGAAGTGACCAAAAACAATTGAATACGTCAATCAATCCTAATTTATGTTATATATTAACATACCAAATCTCGTTTTTCTATCTGAAAACTTATAGGGGTAAACCACTTTTGAGACGCACCCGGTGTTACTAAAGTCTGTTCAAACGAGAGAATATCTGACAGTGACAGTTGTCTGTCATTTTCATATACAGGTAAACGATATTATCTGTCATTTTTTGAATGTCGTCTGTCGAAATTTTCCCTGACTCATTGGACAGACTTTACGGTAGTTCAGACGTGTATTTATTTTGTCGTTCACCTTTTTTTATTTTTTAATATAAGATGTTAAAATCTTTTTTATATAAACATATATTTTGTTATAAAATATATTTTAATAGCTTTTATTAATTTCTATAGGGACAATTTTAACTAAATATACAGAATTGTTTAGCTAAATGTTTAGATTTTTTAAAATTATAAACGTTGGAATCATTAAAGAACTACTAAAGTTACGATGTAAAATTATTTTCAAAAGGTGTCTCCCAAATAAATAAAAAATATTAAATTTAAGTTGTATTATGTTAAATGATGCACCCTGTATATTATTACATTTATAATGTCTATGATTAAAATAAAAGCAAGTTTGATTAAGGTTTTACCTCACTTATATCTTATCGTTTTTGAAATAAATATTTATAATTTTGTGAAATCGCAGTAACAATTTTAATGATTAATTTAAAAAAAATTTGTTTAAATTTTTAAAGTCCAAACACTAATTGGAAGCTTTTTTATTTACTAAATATTGTGTTGCAGGAATAAAAATAATTCATCTTATATTGCAAGGTGTCTAAAAATTAAATTCAAAATAAATTGTTTTTTTTTTTTTTTTTTTTTTTTAATATAAATTAAATACCCTATATACTGCAAGCATCAGATGCAGCAATTTAATTTTATTGTCTATCAAATTTTAATACACACCCTTCGTAACTCTTCTGTGGTTTTCGTAAGAAATGCATATTTTATAATTTGACCTTTATTTATCAAAATGTACTCATGGAATTTTGGCATTTTAGATTTTGTTTAATAAAATT